TTGAAAGCTCCTGGGTTTTTGTTAGGTTTAAAAAGGCTTCCTCTGCCCAAGATGATAAAATATTTTCCCAAGTTTTCTTCTATTACTTTTATAGTCTCACTTTTTATATTTAAATCTTTGATCTGAAATTTACCTATATAAAGAGGGTGATAAGAATCCAGCTTATTTTTTCCCCAGTTGACTTTTTATTATCTGTAAACTATTTATTGAACATTATTTTCCCCACTGATATATAATACAGTCTTTATCACATATAAAATTCCTGTAAATATTTGGGTTTATTTCTGGACTATGTTTATTTCTGATCTCTAATGTTCATACATATTTACATGTCGGATTCACAATTTAATTCTTTTATCCCTGTAATATACTTTATTTATGACATTGCTTAATATTTCATGCTTCTAGTTGTCTTAGTCTATTTAGGCTGCTATAGCAAAATACCCTGGCTTAGGTGACTTAAACAACAGATACTCATTTCTCAAATTTGGAGGCTGGGAATCCAAGATCAAGGCACCAGCATATCTGGTATTGGGTGAGGATTCACTTCCTGGATTATAGAAGCACTTTCTTGTGTGTCCTCAAATGGTAGAAGGGCAAGGTGGCTCTTTGAGGTCTCTCTATAGGGGCACTAATCCCTTATAGAGGGCTCCACCCTCTGACCTAAGCATCCTCAAAGCCCCACCTCCCCTTTTGGGGGAGACACAGACATTTAGTCCATAGCACTCCTGCAGCTGTTTTATTCTTGTCTTGCACCAGCTTTCCCGTAAAACTGGGCCTCTTTCCCTGTACTCTCCTCTTAGATAAGTTATCAATTGCTGTGTAAGGAATTACTGCAAACAGAATAACTGAAAACAACACACAATGATTCACCCCCAGTGTCTGTGGGTCAGAAGTCCAGATGTAGCTTACCTGAGGAGGCTGAGCTGGCTTCTCACCTGAGGATGGCCAGGAAGCATGTGTTTCTGACTGCAAGTGGGTTTTGGTAGCCCTTGAGGCCTGGTTTTCTTTCTGGCTGCTGCCTGGGGCCACCCTCAGCTCATGCGTTGCCTGCTACACCCCCAAGACCAAACCAGGGAGAAATGCCTAGAGCAGACTTCATTGACATTTTGTGGCAAAATTTGTGTGAAATTTCACACCCCAGACCTACACAGTGAAGAATCTAAAAGTCAACTATTAGAGAAAGCTGTTGTTATAAAGGCTTCCTGATACCTCCTGGTGGGGGGTGGAGGGTAGGGGCCGTGGTTCTCATTCAGGAAGTTTTTCAGAAGCTCCTGGCAGCCACTCTGTGGCTCTCCCCCTCTTCCTAGTCTCTGATTCCTCAGTTTACCTCGCTTTTCCAGTGGTCTCAGCTTTTGAATCCCTACAGGGTCCCTGGCATGGCTGCTCCAGAGAGGAGCCAGGTGAGTTCGAGGAGATGTACCTGGAGTAATCATTATGCTGTTGAGTCTTTGGACTCTTGCCATGTGCTTTGCTCCATTCTTAGTCTGTTGCCCTTAGTTCTCACCTGTCTCAACCACTCTCAATCACCACCATCCACAGCCTCTCCTCCAGCCACCCCCACACCATCTTATTCACCCTGGTGTAAGGGACAGGTCAGGCATGGCTGGTGTGAGGGACAGGTCAGGACGACACCAGGAAGTCTGCTGCAGTCCTCTCAGACCACAGAGCTCCATGGCCACTCCAGAGCCAGGGTGGGACCTGAAAGCTTCCTTCCTGCTCCCCAGAAAATGTTTCCTCTCCCTTGTCAAGCAGAATGAATAAAAGATAAGGCAAACACTATCCATGCCTGTTGGTTCTTTGACATGGCAAGCTTAATAGCCTCTCCTGTTTCGCCGTCCCGCTGTGATGAGAGCTGCAAAGGATAGGGAATGCCTCTCGTGGAGATGCAGTACCTAGGGAGGCATCCCTCAGAAGTCACACTTAAGTTGAATCTTGGTGGGTAAATTGAGTTGACAGAGCCTAGAGTTTGGGGTGGCTGATGATTGGGAAAAGAATGTGACGTTGAAGTTGGATTTTTTAGAGGCTTGGTCACCCAGGTCTTCAGTCCTCAGTTCTGGGGGTTAAGTAAGGACCCCTAGAGCTGGGGAATATGAATACCTTTATTCCATAGGTGGGTCCTTCTCAATGGGTGAAGGGGACAATTTCAGACAAGCACAATTTACTGGGATTTGTGAATGGATAATGTGATCACTAGTTGTATGTTTTCAGAAGAAGGACATGGCTGCTTGGACACCCTCTGAGAACCAGAATTTAAACTGTCCAGCGGGGTAACAATCCATGTATTGAATATTAGGGTCCACATGGATTCACGACCCAGCTCTGAATTCATGACTCACATAAAGGCACTGATCATCCAGTTAGCTTCCCTAACTCGAAGTCTACCTACCAACTCCTCCTTATCAAGGACCATTTTCTGAGGTTATCTATGCAGGTAAATTGTGTATATCAGCAGGTATATTCTCAGTTGCAACCAACAAAGAGCACAGCAGCAACTGTGTATGAAATCAAAGGGATATACTGGTTGACCCAGTTGGAAAGCCTGGATACAGGGTGCACTTCAGGCAGGTTTGGCAAGGCCCTGACTCCCTTACTTTGTAATGCTGGGCCTGTGGCTGCCTCTGTGTTGGTTTATCTTTGGGATTGAGCAGTGAGCCAGCAGGACATTTGAAAAGCTTTTCCCCTCCACACACACCGCAATGATGGGAGCTTAAAGTAGAAAATATAAGGTGGAAGCTTCACAAGGCCAGAAACTAGAGGTGGGGGTAGAAATGATTAATGAGTCATTAAACTGGCTATGGAAAAATCCTGACTCATGGACTGTCATGGAAAATCTATAGGCACAGACTGGAGGTGGGGATACAGAGAACTGCCGATAGTTACAAAGAAATACCCATCCTAAAGATTTACCCAACCAGATCTTACAAGTGATAGATTTCACAACAGAATGAATAGATGGATTGAAAATTCCACAAAAGAATGAATCTCCCCAAAGGACACTATAGAAAGAGACCCATGACTCTGGCGAAACACAGCCCTCTGCCCACCTGTGTCTATGCAGGTGCCTCTTTTTTCTTTTCTCTTTCTTCCTAATAAACCTGTCTTTTAAAAATGCAACCTTTGCCTCTTTTTGTCTTTTTCCTTAGTAAACTTGCCTTGTGCTGCTGAATGGAAACTCTGTCGAAACTTTTCTCAGAGGGAACCCAAAGGCCCCATTCACTCACTGAACCCCTCATCTGAACCCCATCAACATGAGAGGTCAGCCAGAGAGATGGGGAGGCTTGTCTACAGACTGGGGCAACTGGCCTCATGCCCTATACTGCTGCTGGAGTGAATTGGGATCAAATTCTCTGGGGTATCTGTCCTATGCCCCTCAAAGGTAGGGAAGTCCCTGAAATAGGGACCTGAAAGGCCTGGTAAGACTGGGGGCAGGTGCCACCTTGTGATGTGAGGATAGAAGCTCCATAGAAGTCACAGCTGGGGCTTTGTGCACCTGCTGACATTCTGCCCCCTGAGCCTGGGAAGTCCTTGTCATGCAAGCCAGCTCTTGAGCAGCTACCCCCACATCTTTCAGATGAAACTTGACCTCCTTTGTCATCCTTCCCCTCTTAGCCATCCTGGTGGAGCCTGAAGCATTGGCTTCAGGAGGGCGAGAAGTGAGAGATGAAGGGAGGAGGACTCACTGGAGAAAGGTGTCTGCAGCTAAAGAGTCAAAGGCTGAACTTGGCGGTGGGATGGATTTTTTTCTTCAGGTGAACATGGAATCACATTCCTAAAAAACGAGCCTCTTCTGATAGTTATGGCTAGGACAGGAGTGAGTGTGCCGACACAGGATGGGGGGAGGAGGGTGGCAAGTAGAAGGGAGCTCTTAGTTTGACTACCTGTTTAGTTTACTTTCACTCTGGCAGGAAAAAGTCACACCAGGTGAGCCCTGCTCGGGAGCGGGAGCAAGGCTCCTCTGCCATGCTTATGTGACAGGTGAGTAGGAATAGGTGAGTGTGGACAGATGAATGTAGACAGGTGAGCAGAGACAGGTAAGTGGGAGACAGGGGAGCGTGAATGGGAGTACATGGACAGATGAGCAGATAGATGTCTTTCCCCCATGGAGATGAAGTTTCTGCCACCATCCTGGTAGAATGGGAGCAAAACACAATGGTGGGCAACAGAAAAATTCTCTTTTCTGCAGACCTGGGCTTGTGGATTAAGAATTACCTAGAGGCCCTGCAGGTCTCAGTGACCCAAAGATGGTGGAAGGGATTTAGGGTGACTCTGTGATTTCCTACTGGGGCATCTGGGGGAACCTGGAGCCCTAAACCAAGAAAATGAATTCAATTCCTCTCTTCCTGGTGTGGCCTGGGGCCACCTGGCCACCCCTCTGGCCTTGGGTTAGACAGACTGTGGAGAATGGTGTGCTTGCTGGAACTGCGCAGATGTGACATACCAGGTGTGAGCAGTGTGGGGGTGGAGGGCCCTGTGGGCTGCAGTCAGTCAGGGTGGGCACTTTCAGGGTGTGCACCCTGAAAGGGTGGCGGTGGTAGATGATCTACAGGTGTCCAACTAGAGGCCTGTTCATACTGTGGAGGTGGGGAGCGCTAGAGGTATGAGGGGGAGGGGGCCAGAGAGAAGGCCCTCAGGAGGACGAGTAGGAGGACCAGGAGGGGAAATGGGGGTAGACTAGGGGGTGAGGAAGAACTGAGGGGGAGGGGAACTGGGAGGGAAGCCAGAGTGTGGGAGGTGGGGCAGAGTGAGGGGTGAGGTGGAAGCCAGGGAGGGTGGGGGGGGTAGGGATGGGGATGAGAGGTAGGGGGTGGGGTATGGGCATGGGAGTGGGGGTGGTGCAGGAACGAGGGTGGGGGTTTGACTGCAAAGTGGGGAGCGGGGAGAGGCGGGTCAGTGCGGGAGGAGGTGGGAGTGGGGGAGGGGGAGAGAGGGTCGGGTGGGGGTGGCCGTGCCGCGCGGGGGCGGGCGCGGAGGGCGGCGCCGCTGCAGTGCGGGACCCGCTTGTCCAACGTCCCCGCGTCGCCGCGTCCCCACGCAGCTGTCTCTGCCTCGGGCGCCGCGCAACCAGGTACGCCAGGGGCTGGACTGGGGTCCGCGCCGGATCCCCGGCCGGTTCCGGAAGGGGCTGTGGCCCACTGGGAGGCCCCCGAGAATGCGGGCCTTGGGGGAGTTCCTGCTCCCTGGGCTGGTCTGGGGAGGGTCGCGCCGCGTCCAGACGCAGAGGCCAGCCGGGGCCTCCGGGAGCCCGCGGCCAGAGCCTGGGCGCTGGGGCTGCTTCCAGGCTGGATCTCCAGGCGGGTCTCCAGGCTGGTCCCCGGGCCTGGCACCCTGCCGGGCCGGCTCCGCCGACCGCGTTGTGAATTAGCCCGGAGAGCGGGGCCGGGAACGCGGCGGCCCTGTCATTGTTCTCCATATTCCATCCTCCTGAGGGCCCCTCTGCTGGACTTCAGTTGTTTCCCACGTTTGCTTTATTTTCCTGCGAAGCAGGCCACGCCACCCCCCAGCAGCAGCTCTCCATCCCCCCGTGGGGGGATCTCCAGCTGGGGCCGCGGGTGTGACTCTTTCACCTTTCCCAGAGTTGTCCTTACAAAAGGGGGAAGGGAGGGTGAAAGCCAGACCACAAAACCAGCTGCCGGGGCCCCAACTGTCCCTATGTCGCCCACCACGGGAGAGACTGAGGGTCTGCAGCACCAGCCCATTCTGTTTGCCCTCCCACTGCCTGCCAGTGTCTCTTTAGAAGGAAGACTGCTGGTATATGTTAACAACTCATCTGGCCCCTCAAAATGAGAGGGCCTTGACAAGTGCCAAATAAACCCTGTGCCCCTGTACTGTGCAATCTTGTCACATGGCTCGTTGGCTTTGACCAGGACGCTAAACCTTGTGCTGTGTGTAAAAGGTGTATTTTGGGGGCAGGGAGGCCGCCCTTGGTCTGGCAGCTCAGCCAGGCAGTGGTTTGTGTTTTATTGCAGGAACCAGGACTGGTGGCCATGGCTTCCCCATCCTCTCACCAGCTGGATGAGGATGAGAGTCTCAAGGGGTGTGAACTGTATGTGCAGAAGCACAGCGTCCAGCAGGTCCTCAAGGACTGCATCGTGCATCTCTGCATCACCAAGCCAGAGCGCCCCATGAAGTTCCTCCGAGAGTACTTCGAAAAGCTGGAGAAGGTCAGTGCTCCTGGTCTGGACCCCCTTGGCAGATGCTGGGTCAGATGGCCCACCTGTGCCTGTTGTCTGAAACTCTTCAGGAGTTTGTGGGGAGAAACTGAGCAGGGTTGACTTCCTATATGCAGGCCAGGGCACGTCCTGCTGTCCCTCTCTCCTGGGTGGTCTCAAGGAATGAGTGTTAGGAACAGCTGCTGTGACAATAGCTTATGGGACTCACTGAGTGTTCAGTCTGGGACAGAGGTGGGGACTGGGTCCCACATGGGCATGTGGGACAAAAGAATAGCTCTGGTAACTATGTGATGTGGGGCATTTGAGATTGGATGCCACTTTAATCTGTTTCTGAGACTTGGCAGACTGCTGGAGGAAAATCCCCTCGAGGGGATTGTGCAGGGGAGTGAGAGGAGAAGCATACAATATTGCCCTCCCCTCCTCTGAGGCCAGGTAGTCACACCTTCTCATCCCTTACCCGCTTCATGGTGCATATTATAGGAGGCTGGCACCAAGAGGGCAAGCTGGGCGAACCCTCCTATACAGACTCCCTTCTCTCTGTCTCGTTGGAACTCTCTGGCATCACTTGGGCCTTTCTCTGTCCTTTTCATCACAATTTAATTGTCCCTGTCCCCATATGGGGGTGTGTGTGAGTGGACATGGGGTATGTGTGAGTCCCTCTGGGCCTGATGCCAACTAGCTATGTTCACTTTGATAGGGGCCTCTGAGGATATGGCCTTAGCCCAAAGGAGTAGATAGATTCATTTATTCCTTTGAAACAACTCATTAAAAAAAAATTTTAAAGTAATGTCTGCCTTTTGAAGAAAATTTGAAAAGTTTAGAAGAAATAAAAGTCATTTGTAGTCTCTTCTACTTGTTTTTCTATTACTATGTTTTTTAAAACTCCTTTTCCCCTATTTTTCCTCATTATGTGTTTTGAAAACAGTTGTAAATGTTGTAGAGGCAATTTTGTATTTTTCATTTATTTTATATTACTTATAGACTTCACTTCTGTGGAGATGCTACATTAAAGTTTTCTCAACCTTTTTTTCATAACTGAACTATTAAATCGTTTCCAGTTTTTTCTTTGAGGATATTAAGTATGTGCCATGTAACATATCACTTTAACATATTTGCACATAGATTTTTTTTTCCTCCTTTGTGTGGTGGTGTTTGTTCAGTATAGCTCTTCAGAAATGGAATTGTTAAATTCCAAATGGAGTGTTGGGTGGGGGGGTCTTATTGGTATTATCAAGGAGCTTCCTAAACGGTGGCCTCAAGGTACTTTCCCACCAGCAGAACATAGGATGGTTTACTTACCATCCCAGTCAACTTTTTTTTTTTTAAAAGATTTATTTATTTATACAAGCACTGGGTATAGTCAGAAGCGCGGGAGGGTGAGAGAATCCACCAGAGCCAGAGCAGGAAACAGAACAGGCAGACTGACGAAATACACTGCTGAGGGGAGCAGCGGGCGGCAGGAGGGGTCTACAAGCCATGTGGGACCCTCGCCTGCGGCCGGGGACTGAACCTGCGCTTCAGAGGCTGCGGGCAGCCCCGCAGCCCAGCGCTCAACCACTGCGCCACCAGGGGAGGCCCACCAGTCAACTTTTAAGGCAGTTTTTAAATTAATAGGTGGAAATGATCATGTGGCCTTGGTCCATTTTTCTTTGGTTACTTTTGGGGTCACATTCAGGAGAGGAGTCCCATCTCCATGCACACACACATAGAGTGAGGGGTGTTGTAGTGCTTGTGTCCTTTCTCATCTCAAACCATGCCTCCATTACAACTGGAATTTTTTTTTTTTTTGTAAGAACTGTGTATTAACTTGGTTTGTTCGTGGGTGATTCCCAGCCAGATGATCCCAGGTGGGTTAGGGTCAGAACCGGAGGCAGGGACCCCATAGGAAGCTGAGGTAACCTCTCCAGCTTAGACCTCAGCTATAGCAGCAGGGTGACAACAGGCGGTTAATCTCACTTGGGGACTTTTGCCCATAGGGGATGTTCAGCAATGGCTGGGGTCATTTTTGGTTGTTACACTTGTCTGGAGAAGGGTTGCTTTGTCATTGGGGGTGATAGGGATGGAGTGACATGGTTATTATGGCCATTGGCTTTGGTGGGACATGCCAGATCTTGCTCGAGGATTACCAGTAGGGGACAGAGACATGAAGCATGACACCTGAGTTGGGTCTAAGTCCCAGTGGATACCCCTTTCCAAGTGGCAGGGCTGGATGGAAAAAGTAAGCATTTTTCTTTAGATGCGTCAGGTTTGAGTTGTCAAGGAGGCCTGTAGTTTGGAGTTTGGTAGAGGGGTCAGGGTGAAGACAGAAGTTTGGAAGGATTAGTGATCACTCCTGTCCTGGGAGTTGATTTGTTGCCTGCCAGGTGTGGATTAAGGTTCAGAGAGATGGGTGATGTGGCCACAGTAGGTGACAAAAGCCTAGGTTTCAGGTCTAAATTGAGCATTTGGTTCTACATGAGTTTTTCCCTAATGTTTAACAATAAGGGAATTGAGTTCTTGTTTTCTAAATTACGGTCACTGATGGCTGCTACATTAGTTTGCCAGGACTGTCTTGGGCTTGTAGACACATCACCCTGTCTCTGCCTTGTCCTCACATGGGGTCTCTCTTTTTATCAGGACATAGTCATACTGGATTGGTGTCTACTCTTATGACCTCATTTTGACTTGAGTACATCTACAAAGATCCTGTTTCCAGACAAAGCCACCTCCTGAGATCCTGGGGGTTAAGACACCAACTGACCTATTTTGGTGGACGCTATTCACCCACATAGTTGCCTTCATAGGTAGTGGCCAGGGTGGTTCTGCTTAGGCCTCCTGCTGACAGCAAGTCATTGCTAAATGAAAACAGCAGATTTCAAAATACCATGTATGGCACAGTTCCATTTTTGTCAGACAATGCCAACAATAACCCATGTGCAAAGACAAAGTCTGAACGGTGCACACCACAGTACTGACAATAGAAGCATCTAGGGGCAAGATTGCAGGCTATTTTTGTTTCTTTTTTTCTGTCACAGCTAATCTGCATGGGCTTTTATGATAATTTGTGAATTCTCTGAAATTGTATGCATGCTTCTATGTGTGGGTGCACTTCACTGGGGAGAACATCCCTTAGCTTGTGATGGACTCTTTTTTTTTTTTTTTTTTTTTTTTTTTTTTTTTTTAATAGAGGCATGTTTTTATTTTTATTTGTTTGTTTGTTTGTTTTGTTAATACATGCACTGGGTACAGTCAGAAGCGCGGGAGGGTGAAAGAATTCACCAGAGCCAGAATAGGGAGCAGAGCAGGCAGAAGGACTGAAGTACACTGCTGAGGGGAGCAGTGGGCGGCAGGAGAGGTCTGCGCGCCATGTGGGACCCTCCTCCGGTGGCCGGAGAGCAGCCGGGGATCGAACCGGCGCCACAGAGGCTGCGGGCAGCTTCGCAACCCAGCGCTCTACCGTTGCGCCACCTGGGAGGCCCAGCTTGTGATGGACTCTTAAATGAATTTGAGATCCTGCAAATATAAAGTACCTGACAGTCTTAAAACCCTTTGGAACTTCATTCCCCACTACACTTGCTTGACCCATGACTGAATGGCTGTGAAATATTTGTAACATGGGACCAGGACACGCTTTTGGCTCCAAGAGGGCTCTGTCCGGTGGAGGGATAGTGTCCCCTCCCCTGTGGGGCCAGCTTTGTGGGGGCAGTGGGCAGAAGCCCAGGGAAGGAATCTTTCTCAGCTTGTCCAAAGCAGGAAACCTTGATAAATTGCCTAGCGTTGTAGTAACCCCTGCGCAGACCCACACAGACCCATGGATGGCCCAGTCCTCCAAGTGCTGTCCTGACTGGCTGACCAGGGAGGATTCACAAGGGAAAGGGGAGTGGTCAAGTCATCCAAACAAAACCCTGAAACATGTGAGTGCCACAGGCAGGAGCTGGGTTTCTGGTTCTTTTTAATTAGAAAACCAAACAGAACACTTTTTTTAAAAAAAACCAAAAAAGTGATATATACATAAAGTGAAACTTCAAGAATGATTAAGGAGCATAGGATGAAAATCAAGTTTCTCTTGCCTTGTTATTGTTGTCATGTGTTTCATCTGCAGACACTACAGACACTGGAGTACTCCGCACCCCCATTATGTTATCATTTCTGTTTTTAGTACTTCTGATGTTTTAAATGACATCAGAGGGGAAATTGTCCACTATGCATCAGGTATTTATTATTATTCCTGGATTCTATTTCTCTTTGGGATCATTTAGTATTTCTCAGAGCCCATCTATTAGTTTCCCTTAATCTGAGGATACCTTTATATTGCTTTCATTTCTGAAGGAAATTTTTTCTTGATAAAGATTCTGGTTGGCAGCTATTCCCTTTTAACATTTTAAAGATGTTTTTGCCACTGTCTTTTGACTGCAAGAGTGTCTGGTGATGAATTTAGTCTTTTGTATCCTTGTTCAATCATTTTATGTATTTGCTCTGACAGCTTTCATGGTTTTTAGCTTTTGATTATGTGTCTGAGTGTGGATTTCTTTGAGTTTATCCTGTTTGCTGATCTTGAATCTGTAAATTTATATCTTTCAGTAAATTCAGATTTTTTTTTTCTGCACCAGTCACTTTATCCTCTTTTTCTGGGGCTCCAGTAACACAAATGTTAGATCTTTTGATGTTTTTCCATTATTCCCTGAGTCTCTGTTAATTTTTTTTTCAATCTTTTCTCCTCTGTCCTTCCGATTGAATAATTTTTGTTGCTCTGTTGATCTGTGTTCAAGTTTACAATTCTGCTCTTGAGTCCATCTAGTGAATTTTTAATGTTTTGTTTTTCACTTACAAATTTTTTTTGGGTTCTTTAAAATTTTTCTATTTCTCTGCTGAGAATTTTTCCATTACTTTCAAGAATATTCATCTTCATTTCATAAGAATGGTGATAATAACTGATAATGTGCACAGCTGAATCTTCTTGGGGTTGTCATTCATGATTGTTCTTTACCTTGAGAATGTGTCAGTTTCCTACT